TTCTAACTTTAATCAGGGTTATTGATTAATAAAGACCAGTGGGATTTTTGGTTGGATGCTTATAATCTAGTATTTTTCCTTTTCTAAATTTAATCAGGGTTATTGATTAATAAAGACCAGTGGGATTTTTGGTTGGATGCTTATAATCTAGTATTTTTCCTTTTCTAACTTTAATCAGGGTTATTGATTGATAAAGACCAGTGGGATTTTTGGTTGGCTGCTTATAATCTAGTATTTTTCCTTTTCTAACTTTAATCAGGGTTATTGATTGATAAAGACCAGTGGGATTTTTGGTTGACTGCTTATAATCTAGTATTTTTCCTTTTCTAACTTTAATCAGGGTTATTGATTAATAAAGACCAGTGGCAAAAAATTTTGTGCTAAGTTATAATGCAAGAACTTAGAAGATCGCACAAGTCTCTTGGTTTTTACTGTTTGACACTAAGTTATAAGGCCACTTATAAATCGAGTCTTACTTTGTTCTTGTATAGCTGTAATTTTTTTTAAGTTTTGCAGAGAAAAACAGTTATATTTTAAACTGAAATCCTGCTCCACAGAAATTCAGAACCATAAGTTTGTGCGACATTTCCTTCAATTAAGTAAATGAATTCTGGGTAATAACAGAAGCAAATCATCTGAATTTTGTAATTTTCTTATTTCTTCTAGCTGTTCGTGGATTTCCATCCCTTGTATTCTTGAAATATCTGAAGAAGAGTTTCCTTTTTTTCAACAAAAGAATGCTGTAACTTCTGTGGGATAGGCAGCAAGCACCGTATAAAAATTGCTGGGTGTGCATTTTGGCATACAGAACATTTTAGTCAGAAAAAGTGTGTGTAAAATATTCTGTCAATCCAGTTAATTTGTGTTTGAAGGTTGGTGAACAATGTTAAAAACAATACTGTTCCTCTATGTATACAAATTTTGTACAGAAAATGTAAGTTGATTATGTAATGATTTTAACATCAAGACGGAATTCTTCACTTGTTTCAGAGTATTCTTTAACTGATATTTTTTAGAGATTTTCTTTGGTAAGCTTAATGAAGTGAAATATCCTGGTATGCATGTAAAGTTTAAACATTTTGATGACATTATATTACCAAGTAGGCAATAAATCACATTATGCCAGTCTGTAGTATGTCTAAATGACATCTAACAAACCTATCTTTTTCCTTAAACAAATATTTACTGAAATTCTTAAGATCGTTATACAGTCGCATCATTTAAATATGTCATATAACAGAATTATCATAAAAATTTGCATACACACACATAATCTTAAAAGTTAAAGACTTGGAAATGGCCGAGACATGAAACTTACACTGTTGAAATATGATTTTAGTCTAATAATTTCAGCTGACAACTGTTATGTATAACTTGATTCTGTAAAGGGGATTATCGTGTAACATATACAATTCTAGGGCTAGTAAGAAATAGTACAAGACAGATATTGGATTGATGTCTTTTTTTTTCTTCTTATATATTACTTTGTTATTGCAATGTATAAAGAAACTTGAAGTAGAGTTTGTGGAACGTAAGTATTTGTTGTTTATTTAAATGGTTATCGTGTAATGTTTTTTGGAAAGTTTATAAAACATGTATGTAAATTCTGCTAGAATCGCTGACTTTTTCATACTTTATAATACAGTCACTCATGTTTTAATCTTTCAGCGAAGGGCAAGAGTCATCAGATTTAATCAATATCTGTTGTATTAATAATGTGTAGCAATTACAAACATTTTCACATTATCTGTTGTTGTTTTGTTTTTAAGTAATTAACTTTTACGAAAAACTTTAACAGAATTATGCCATGAAATTGGATTATGTAAAATTGATAAAAATAATCAGACTTCCTATGTTCTACATTTGTCTTAGATTTAACTTTTACTAATTATTTTGAGAACTAGACATTCAGTGTGAAGTATTCGGGATGGATTGTTTTTTAAACAACATTCTTGTAAATAAAAGGAGAGAGAGAATTATCCTGTAAATTGGTCATGCTGACCCAACTAAATTTAAAAAAATATTGTTTTCAGATTTCTCTTCATTTCTTAAATGATAAATTTCAATATATCTATGTTAATTTTTGTTTTAAAAGTATATATTCAAGAACATCTATATACGCTTACTGTATTACAGTTATGGTAACCTACTTGCATCCATTCCAAGAATGTAAATCACCTCCTTTCAGAGAATTTTTTAATTTTAGAAGTTACATTTTTCAGGAGGACTCAACTTTTCCAATCTTAAATCCAAATATGAATGGTAATTGACCTTTTCTTAAACCAAAAGAAACCCATGCCTCTGATTTTAGCAAAAGAACTACAACTGCTTATCCCCCTGGTGTCAATTCTGAAAGGAACATAATTTGCAGATATTAGGAATATAGTAGTGTTGAAAAGAAACTGTTTCAAAGTTTGTATTTTCTTTTACACAAAATGTAAAACAGTGTAGTGAAAATGACCATTAATCAAAAATTCTCTAATTGTGGTTATTTATATATATATAGTGTGTGTGTGTGTGTATGGAAGAGTTATTACAATTTCCTGTGTGTGTATTAAATAATTTAAATTTTATTATTCTAAAGTATGGTTTTGCCCAGCATTTGATATATAAATGTGATAGCGAAATAAAAGTTCTGGAAAATACTAGAAAAAAAAAATCAAATGTGTCATTGCCAGCTTGATTTAAAAAATGCAATGTCTTTACACAAAAAGAACTATTAATGGGATTTTTAAGTTCTTTTCAATCACCAAATTAGTAATTTAGGTATTTGAATAATGTTAGAGCTTGTGCCTAAGTCATTATTCCACATTATATATCGGACGAAGTATTTAATGATTACATGTATATGTTACACACTTCTTTTCTGTTTCACCATAGGTAGAATTGAAAGGAGAATCCACGATGTAGAGGCCCAATGTTTTCTTTGATTGGCCATAGTCTCTGCTCTGTAGTTTTTGCCTATTAAATCAAAGACGTACAGGTAAAACTTCAGTTTACAGCAGCGGGTATGGCCCAAAAATTAGGCCTTTACGTCGCACCTTTGGTGAAATTAAAAAGAAGTTATATATATAGGTTACAAAGAGCCAGTTAGATAGTTAATGTATAATTCCTTTCATTTTATATCAAAGTTGATCTTGACCATTAAAACTTTCAAATATCAGTAACCTCAGTCATTTCAATTGTTAGTCCTGTTTAATATTAAAATTTCATATAACAAAATATAATTTTATGAAAAAATAATATAGGTTTACCATAATTTTTCCCATTTTTTAAATAAAGTATCAATACATGTTCTATAACCCTGAGTGCATGGTTAAGGGGTCAAAGTTTACAAGCTTATGCGAGTATGAATACTTTTGTCCTTTGTACAGTTTGCAAATTGCACAACCTTTTAAATGCTTATAGTTTTTTGGTATCCCTGTAAATTGTGTCTTGTATTTTCTCAACTCTAAATGAAATCAGATGCACACCATGTTGAATGACACAGTGCACAAGATTGGGAACATCACTTTTGTCAGTTTGACTTTGTATTTCATAGGTGCATCTTTAGTACAAAAATGTTAATGTTTGTGTACAACATATTTGTACTGTTGATTACAAGCTTGCCACATTTTGTGAAGATGAGAAAGTATAGTCAACTTACTTCTATGATACAGGGTCTGGCCAATGGACCAATCCCATGCTCAATCAATCGCTTAAAAGACTGTGCAGGTTGTAAGAGAGGATATGTTGAAAATAAATAATGATCAATAAACTTAGTATTTAGTTAATGTATGAAAGACAGATTTTACAGTAAATCTCTAAGAAGTATTTTTACTTATACTTATGTATGATCTTACTGGTAAAACAAAAATGTAACAACAGCCAATACCATGGAAAGTGCTATTATTTTATGAATTCAACTTACATAGTGGCTGGGACTATTTTAAAGGAAATTCTTTGAAATACCCTACTGAGGTGTTCGTCGATATTTTTCTTCCCCTTCTCCCATCATGTTAATTTTACTTAATGAAAGTGAAAATTGGCTATTGTGCTATTCAAGTTGAGGTTTCTAATTTTTTAAACCACTTGTCAATTTTTTTAGAATTTAGATCAAAAATAAAGGAATGTAAAATTGGCCAAGGGCAAAGTTAGTAAGGTAAAAAAACAGGGTTGAAGACTTGATTGATAAATTTTTGACAACTAACAAAAAAGTGTTGTGGTTTAAGGTTCCAAAATGGCCTCTTTGCATCACCAGGAGAATAGTGTTAGATGTTTGTTAATTAACTAGTTAAGAAAATCACATTCCATCAACTTCTTAAACCAGGTTTATTAACATATTAATGGTTTAAAAAAAAAACACACCTTAGATGTTGCGGCTGAAACGATGTAAAGGGTAACACTATCAGTCTTGATTTGTACCAGCAATTGATATAGAGCTGAACAAATATTGTATAAACATATATATATACATAAAAGGTTCATATTCCTGAAACCATCAATAGCTTATATTTCTTTTGGTAATCTGAATGAAACATTTATAGAATGAAATATTCCAGGATGTAACAATGCAGCTTAAGTAACTACAATAAAATAAAAACACTCTTGGTAGATGGGTTTGATTTGTAAGTATACCATATTTGTAATATGTAACACATTTAAAAATGGTTTGTTACTTAAACATAACCAATTTTATATCCAGTCATGGGCATCCGCAGGAATTTTTCTGGGTGTGTGTGTGTGTGACGAATTTAAAATCAAGGGACAATGGACCCATCTTCAAAGTTTTGACATTACAGCCAAGAGAACAGGCAAGCTCCCACAGTCAGATTTGATGGGTTTAATATTTGTAAGGTTAGTTTAAGCCATACTTGTAGATATATATACAAATTTTGATTTGTTCTTTTAGGTTCTTAGCCCTACTGGGTAATTTCACCTTATATAAAACAACTGTTTATACGAGTACAGAAATTTGAGGTTACATAAAGCACATTTCAATAGCACATATATTGTGTGTGTGGTAAACACAACATTTAAGGCTAATAGACCTTAATCTACACTTTTATATTACAAAAAAACGTAAATAAAAAGCCTTTTTTAAAACTAAAGTCACAACATGTGGTTTTTTGCTATTGAATATGATGTATGATAAGGTCAGAGTATTGCATAACAAAACCAGTACCAAATGTGTTTCTGGTGAATTTCATTACAATAGAATCACATTCATACAATTTGTCGGTCCTCAAAGACAAGTGTGATCATGAATTACATAATTTGTTTGATGAAAATATACCATAATTACATACAGGAATGCAAACTTACAAGTTATCACGTGAAACTAAAATGTTAATCTCGCTAATGCCGATACTACGATGTGACCAGATGTCCAGAGCCCCGTTTTCAAGCTGACTGTCCCCCAGAAACTTTAGGGGAGGAGAAAATGTCCCCCATTATCAAAATTAATACCGGTAAGCACTACTGTACTATGACTGCACACAAGATTTGTTCTGTCATCTTACAATATCCTTAACTTTCATATATTAATATTCCACAACGTAGATAATCACATATGAAATTAGCCTGTTTATTGTCTCTTAAAATACCGTTAGGCATTAGCCATTGACCTTTATACTACAAAATAATTGAAATGCTGTATATTAACGTTCAGTAAATAGTAATATTGTTATAACTACAACACATCTTAGGTTGTTTAAGTAACTATCTTCAAATAAAACTTGTAATGATTAGATGGTATGTATTTTTCACGAAGGTCACTTTTATATTGCGTGTTTCCAAAATGCACTCCCGATTTGTTAAAGAAAATAATATCCAATAAAAAGTATGATAATAATAAGATGGTGTGCATTTTTTATGAAAAGAAGTTTTAATTTTTTCAATGCAACCAATTTTTTTTATTCATCAGTTAGGTGTCCCGCTTTGGACTCCAGAAAATCTGGTCACTTTATGATACTCACAACTAAATGTGATGTATAAGTTATGTATGGATTTGGCTATTATGCAATTAAACAATATTATAATTAATTCTTAGATAGACCAGGTTATGACAACAAAATTTACCCATCTTGGTACGTAGAGATTTTAAGTTAAGCTCCGACAAACCTAGCATCTTTTATTAGAATAGAAAATTCAGTATTATAAGTGAATCCAAATTTTGTAAATTCATATACATACCCTGAATGAATAAGGAAAGAATTATGTTTCCCTTTTCCCAGGGTGGCAAGTGTCCCCCCCTCCCTGCGGATACCCGTATCTTACAGTAAAAAAAACCTGTATTAAATGCAATTTCCTCTCCAACATCTCACACCACCTAGCATACCAAGAGGCGATACCAACCACCTAGCTTTAAGTTGATGTATTTCATACTTAGTGATTGCAAGGTTATTTTTTTTTGTGCCTTCCTCCTGCCCTAAGTTAAAGAAACTTCCATTTCTAGACTGATATTTTTTTTATTAAAAAAATCAACTCAAAAAATGTTTAACAAAATTTTACTCCATATGAACTTTCTTTAGCCACACCTTAAAAAGACCTTGTATGACTTTCAAATATCTTTTGAAATACAATAAAGATTTAAGCTAAAATGCCACCTTAGTTATGGTAAGATCATTCTTAATAGCAGCGATATTTAACTTATGTAAATTTATTTACCGAGAAGTTTGATAACCTATCAAAATACTTTTGTTTCATTGGATTGTTTGACAATTCACACATTGTTATGCTAACAGTTCCTACAGACTGTTTTCTAACCGAGAAAATGCAGTATGATCTGAAACATCATTCATTGCAAAAAACATCGTTAGAAGCAGCCCATGGTTATGCTTGGTAATTCTTTTAATAACAAAAAATCATAAAACCACTACTTACAATATTTATTACATGCAGGTGTTAATTTAAAATGTCACTCAAATTTCTATCCAGTTTTAACTTTTTCCCATCAATGATGATTAGATGCACATGACAGATACTGTTTATTAAATTCTCAATTTCTATGACATCAAATTTGGTTTAAAATAATCATCAGTTCATTTCACGTTGGATAAACTTTGGTAAATTCATAATATTTACATACATATTTATATACATAAACACAAACATATACAAAATGTGTAAAAAAAAAGCAAAAAAAAAAAACCTTTAATGCTTCGATAAACATATTAAACACATACAGTAAACAATGTTGTTCAGTGTCAATAAAGTAAACAATAAATGGTTTTTCCGACTATATAAGGAACCTGCTGTAAACAGCCTCATGGTGTATTAGGACTTTTGTAAAATTGAGGGTAAAACTGAGGGAAGGTACTGAAAATGTCTCGACCAATGATATCCTTACAAACTGCTACACTGGACTGGAGTGCTTCTAAAGAAATCATATGCTGCTGGCCCAACAATGGGGAGGGACAGGAGATTATAGAAGGATTGACAAATCGTGGTAGTTGGGGGTTATATTCTGTCACATATGCTGTTTTCTTTGAAGAGTCTGATGCAAGAAAGGATTCCTTTGAAGTTGAAGAGGAGCTTATTGTGGCTTTGTTAATAGTCTGTGGTTTCATTACAGGTTGTTCCTGGTCAAATGAATGTCTAGTGTTTTGGCTACACACATGCAAAGGAACATTACTGTTTGCGTGAGTTGCATGAAGCTGTGTGTGGGTTTTATCTCTATTGTTAGGGCATGGTATGTGTGCCTGTATGGGAATTTTATTGTTTAGGTGTGGCATGTGTGCCCGTATTGAGACTTTATTGTTTAGGTGTGGCATGTGTGCCTGTGTGGGAACTTTACTATTTACGTGTGTCTGTGTGGGGACTTTACTTTTTATGTGTGGCACGTGCATCTGTGTAGGGACTTTACTGTTTACATATGGCATGTGTGCCTGCGTGGGGACTTTACTGTTTACACAAGGCATGTGTGCCTGCGTGGGGACTTTACTGTTTACACAAGGCATGTGTGCCTGCGTGGGGACTTTACTGTTTACACATGGTATGTGTGCCTGCGTGGGGACTTTACTGTTTACACATGGTATGTGTGCCTGCGTGGGGACTTTACTGTTTACACATGGTATGTGTGCCTGCGTGGGGACTTTACTGTTTACACAT